AGAGAGCGCTGAATGTTGGAGAAAGTTAGACTGTACATCTTGTTCCACCCTCCACATGGGCTATTGGTCAATACCGTTTCTCACCAGCCAAGTGCTTCTGGAAATTCTCATGACTTGGGGTCATCTCCAAGTCAGGGACCACGCAGGGAACACTTCCCCATCAAAGGTTCCCCATAGACCTTACAGCCTGTATTTTTTGTGGATTGGAGCCTTATTGTGACCTTGCTAGACATACCATAAAAGAAGCTGATTTTGCTGTAACTCTGGCTTTCCTGAGAAGCTATTCTCTCTAGGGATGGTCAGGAGCACCATGGGACCCACTTCCCCTTTTGCTGTGTCTAACCAGGTTGTCATTCTCTTTATACCTCACTTTCTCCCATTGTACAGTGGAGGCAGGGTGGTAACCAGCTTTCCAAGATGTCATGACATTAACAGCTAACAGCTTCGAGATGTTTTTACAATGTTGAGCCTACACTGAGTGCCCTGGTTAGTATCTTCTCCCTGCGGCTAGCTTAGACTGCTGGAGAAAGGAAGGAAAGATAAGAACGAGCCACCCTGACAGTTTTTGTAAAGCGTAGCATTGGGGTGGAACTGGCAACAATTGGAAACTCGTCTTTGGGCTAGGGACAACTTTACAAGTGCAGCCAGGTGGGTCTGGATGGTCCCCTGTGGGCCACAGCTATCGCTTCAGCTCAGTGTTATTAGTCTTCCTTGCCTTTCTACTTCTAACTAAAAACTCTTGGTTTCAGGTCTTATTTTCCTTTTATGAAGTAGAAGTCATGTAAAGTAACTGGCAAGATCTTCGCTGCCTGTTTGGTTTCAGCTTGTGGCCAAGGCAGGAAAGATTTGCAGTGAGTTGGCTCTGAAATTTCTAGCTATGGTAGAGGGAATGTAAGTTTGACTGACTCACAGAAAAGAAAGGGTTGTTTTGCTTTGTTTTTTATCATGTAGTATTCTAAAGTAAAAACCACAGTAGTAACCTCCAAGATTCTTCAAGCACTGTCTGTCCTACAAGGAGAAATAGTGTGAAAAAATTGGGCAGCTTTCCATCGAAAAACAGGGGGCTGTTTGTTGTTGGGTTTTTTTGTTAAAGGAAACATAATACAGCATGTTTTTAAAGAAGTGGTTTTGACTAAGTTTGGGTCCAAGTGTGCCCAGCGTGACCTTGGTGATGGAGCACATCTAGCGGAAGGAGAAGGTGCTTTAAACAGGGCAGAAACACCGTGCCAACATCTGGACAAGCAGCCTTGTCTTTGGGACTAGATCAGGACTAATCATTATTCCTCATAAGTCCTTTACCACTTGAGAAAATGCCCTTCATCTGCAATGGGCTCTCTCAGCCCGGACGACTAACGAGCTTCTAGATGAGACTCCAGCACTCACCTGCTAAGACTCTCCGGGGAGAGGTCACTCTTACCTTTGCAGTCCTAATGTAAGGCGGGTATTCTAGGAATAAGTGGGGAAGGTCAAGGACAGTGCCAAAGCAGAGAACAGGTCCAAACATCCAGCCAGTTTTAATGCTAGGTTTATAAAACAGAAGCCTTTTAAAGCCCAATCAGGGTGCATTTATCAGTGCGTGTCCGTACGCCACCAATGTCCGGTTAATTTGATTAATGCCAGTAGCTGATCCAAATAGTTAGGCTCCCCTCTAAGCAAACTTCTCTGGGCTCACATTGCTTGAATTGACTGTCACATTACCTAAGTAATTGCCGAATCTGTTTCACTTTGTGCCGAGTAGACTTGGCCTAATCAAAACAAACGCTGCTGCGCTTTCCTGCCCGGCCTCCCCTCACAGAAAGGCTTCCTTCCAAACAGCATCTCCTCACACCAAGACAAGCCGTGCAGCCGGCCATGTGACTGGCTGCTGCTGCTAGTTTGCATTTATATGACTCTTTCCACGGAAGAGATTAAGGCACTTTATACGACTTATTAGCTAAACAGATTGACAGCCTAATTAGGAAAGAGAGACGGATTCTGAGAGTCTTTTTGTGGCTGCAGTTCCAAGCCACTCATGTAGAACACTTGGTCGGATGGTTTGGTAACACAGGAGGAAGATGGGAGGTGGTCGGTGCGTGTGTGGTGGGTTTCTCAGCTGCACTGAGAACTTGACCGGAAAGAATCTAAATAGGTGAGGGCCACTGACAGCCAGGAGCTGTCCTCCTAGAAATCATGTGTATTCACAAAGCAAAGAACGGCGAGGCAGGCATCAGCTCTTAGTGTGCCTACTATCTAGCTCTTAGCACTTAGTGTGTCTAATGTCTTCTTCCCGCCATCTCTGAGTCTAGCCCTGGTCCCTTCATCTCTTACACCTATGTTTTCATTCTCCTTTGACTTTGTCTACCATGCCCAGCCACAACCCAAGCACATACCACTGCCTGGCTCTTTGGCAAGCCTGCTGTATTTCTGAGCAGTTTCTTGACCCCCTGAATGATCCTCAGATGTCTGGGGGACCTGGGAGAGTCCCAGGTGGCCTTCAGCAGAGCCCCTATGGTTGTGCAGGCAGTGCTGTGGTTCCTAGGTGCCTATTAGAAGACTGGGCAGGGTCAGGAGGAGGAAAGCCTCAGGAATAAGGAATAGCACTTCTTTCGTAATACATATGCCCAAGTCTTCTCAGGCCTAAGAAGTTTTAGCTGCCACCTTGGACTCTGTGTGGCTCTGAAGAGGTTTTTGTAGTAGACTCAGCCACTGTGGGCAGACTGGCATTGGGAGTGCGCTGCAGTATGGACCAGGAACAAAAGTGATTGTTGAACCACGTAAGTGTGTCTTCTCCTGTTCCATGAGTTTACAGCAATTCCCTGGTAGGATATGATTTCTGGGTCTGCAGACACAGCCAGTTTAACTCTTAAAAGGGTCAAGTTTAACTACTCAAAATGTCAAGTTTACTTTTAAAAATAACTTAGCCTAATTCCTTTTAACACTACCAACAGCCAAGGGGACTAGCCAGTGTGGGTACTTAGTCTATCCTCATCACTGCTGTGAGGACAGTTGTGTCTTCTGTCCCATCCTTAGACTCCCAATTTTATGGCCTTTTTCCAAGCCTATCTTTTCTGGTTAATGAAGTGGTTGTGTCTACCAAATGTATTGTGAAAGATACACGAGACAGACAGACATTGTCTCCTTTATTTCTCACTAAGAAAGTTTTTGTGTTAGTAGCTTTGACAACACATTTCAGCCAATGTATTCCCTGTTATTCAGGTTAATAGTACCCTGACTTGAACACGCGTGTCTTCCCTACATTCTTCAGAATGTGTTAACCCACGGTAGTGCTGTGACCCACTGCACCCACGGCCCTTCTTATCTTCACTCTTTCTCTAATAAAATCAAAGGGACCACGTGTCATCAAACATGTTCCAGAGGCAGAAAAGCTGATGAGCAGAAGAGTTAAATAATTTAAGTCCAGCCAAAACCTCAGAACTGGGCGTAGAGCTTGAGATGTGCCTGCCGCTTTCACGGGTGAATCCTCTCCCACTGTTAGCTTGTTGATTAGAAACACAATAAGCAGGAGCCATGGACATTTTCAGGAAATGAAACGGCATTTGGAGCTTTACTGTACCCCAAATTTCTGCTCCTCATAATCATTTGCTACCACAAACAGAAAGAGCAGTGGGGCCAGGGGTTTTTGTAGACCTTGGTATCACTGTGTCTTCCAATACCAACAAACTCATCTTTGGAACGGGGACCAGACTACAAGTTTCACCAAGTAAGTTCTGAAGCCATGGAGCAGTTTGAAGGTGTTTTCTATAAATCCCCAGCCTTACCTGGTGTGTTCAGGGCACCCTGCCTAGCACTGGGTTCTGTGGGCACCTCTATACTTCTGACTGCTGTGTCCACAGAAGCGTGGGATGTCATTTCTGCCAGACACAACCTTCTGTAAACAAATCCATTTCATCTGCATGAGAACACAATTCTTCTGGAAATGAGACACTAGAGGGCTGGCTGCCTTAGGATGCCAAGAAAATGATGTATTTCTCATTTACAGTTTTATTTAGAGTATCAGGGAAGATAAAGTGAGTTCAACTTCTCTAATTTAAAAACAGTTGTGAATTCCACTTCCTTGTATGCAGAGAGACCAAGACTGACTTTGGATGGTTAGTCATTTGATTCTGTCATCTGTGTCTGGAATCTATAATGGGCAAGGGAATCAGATGTAATTAAACGAACACATAATCTTCAATAGTCAATATTCCAACATTGTTTTATGTGCTTCGCTCTGGAGTTTTTATCTGGGCTTTATCTCTATTAGGCTCCCCAGAAGGACAGTGGGTGTTTTTGTTAAGGTTTTTGTGTCTGTGCGGGTAGCAACTATCGGTTGATCTGGGGCTCTGGGACCAAGCTAATTATAAAGGCAGGTAAGTCTCAGGTATATGACAGTAAGAAAGGAGGCACTAGCTGAATAATACATGACGTGTAGCATGCAAATGCTATTGTTAAGAACAATCTAGCCTGCTGGAGACAATGCACTCAGCCCGATGGGGTCTTCACTCCCAGGGAGAGGCAATGTCAGCCACCGACTCCCTTGTTTAGTCTGCTTGCTTCCAGAATGAATAATGCTTGACTGGCCTTCTAAAATAGCAGAGCCGAGTGGTTAGAGGGTGCCTAATTCCCTCTGGTATGTTTAGAATTCTTTCCCAAAGACAAGCCAGTCCATCCCGGTAAGGAAATAAATTCAAAGAAGAGAGGAAGGTCAAAGACCAGTAGGCAAACCGGAGTGTGGCTGCAGCTTTCCTGACACGCTCACCTTGGGCCACCGTCCTCTGTGGAGAGCAAATGCCTACAAAGCTCCTGGCCACTTGTTGATTTCTCGGGGTTTGGGGCTGTAGCTCAAACCCCACAAAGACATCAACTAAAAGTCAGTGTTAGAAGAATCTGGAGGCTAGAGGGTTTCTGGTTCTTGACTTCTGCCACGAAGGTGCTAAGATAGTCTTGACATGAAAGGACACAATGCTTTTCTAACGGAGTTATTGTAAGGCTCTGCAGGGCTGTGTGAATTATGGGGGCAGTGGCAACAAGCTCATCTTTGGGACCGGCACTCTCCTTTCTGTCAAGCCAAGTACGTGAGTAATGGCGTTTGTGTGCTAGACCTGGCCATGGCAAATAGGAAAAAATGGGAAGTTTTGCTGAGGAGGGCCAAGGCTGGCTTTGTTGCCTGCTGTGCCCTCCTTTGTCTCTCACAAAATGCTGGACTCTGACCCCCCCCCCACACACACACACACACACTCACACACTCTACTGAAGGGCAACCTCAGCCAGGGAGGAGGAAATTGTGCTCATTTTCAAATAAACCTTAGGGAGGTTGTGAAGTCTATTGTGGGAAAGTCCTCTCCTCCACACGCTGCAGAGCCTCCGTTTCTGGGTTTGGCTTTCTAGCCACTGATAGTCGTGATCAGCTTGTGCAGAGCAACCTCTCTGTGGATTGTTTATTTATCATTCTGTATCAGCTTCCTTAAGCTATACCTTTTTTCTTCTTCCCGTAGAGACTCCAGAGTGATCTTTATGAGATGTCTGGGAGGGGAGGAGTAGGTTAACTCCATCTTTGAACTGTGACCCAGCTAATGCTGTCTGCATTTGTTCCCTTCCCTCTTTGCCTGGGAGGAGTCCTTTCTCTTTACTCAGGACACCTGTTTCTCCCTGACTAAAAAGGGGACAATAAAATCCATTCTGAACCTTCCTCAAACCTGATGAATCAACATCACAGTTACCTGGGGCTGGGGTAAAGTCACTGCCGTCCCTCCAGACTTTAAATGCCGTCAGGGAATCCCTACTTTTAACCTTACAGAAAGCCAGCATCCTGCTGCTGTCCCTGCCTGGACTGCTCACCTTCTCCCTTCAATAAAATGATGTCATGCACATCAAAGCCCAGCCCAAGTACAGTTGGAGATAATCGAGCTCTTGGCACCATTGTCCTTGCTTATACAAACTTTTTTATGATGGAAGATGGTCACTTCTTCCAGTCATTTCAGGCCTGACTCTTCCTAAGGTTGTGAGCAATCACGGATTTTTACTCCCAACCCTTTCTGACTGAAACCACATGGCAGCCCATGGTGGAATTTCTTCAGGAAATATCTAGATAATTACTTAAGCATCATTGTACATGGAGAAGGCTCCAAAATAAGTTGATCAGTAAGGAGGGACAGGACCATGGAGCCAAGGTCAAGCTTAGAGGTGACTTCAGAAGGTTCTGTGGCTGCTGAGCATCCCTCTGTTTTATAGGAATACACCATTTTTGTTTCCACAGTCAGCTTGTCTGGGCACTTGCTTCCTTAGACCACATCTTAATTTTCCTTCCAAAACAGACCTGCATATCTGAAGCTGAGCCCACACAGGACACAGAACTGTTAATAAATTGTTTGATTCATCTTGGGTAGGTTTCAGCTCAGAAACACTAGAGCGGAGGAGTCTTAAAAGCTTGTAAATCTGACCTTTTTAAAGGAGAAATGGCTGGACTTTATGTAGTAGAACTGCTCTATTTATTCCTATGGTGAAACGCAATTTCCAGAAACAAAGAAGAAAAGCAAAAAAGCATAGCGGAGTCTAACTGCCTCCTCCCTGTGATGCCGTGTGTTTGGCTGGGTCTTGCCAAGGGTTTCAGTAAAGGCAGGAAACGCTGTGGGAATAACAATAACAGATTCTTCTTTGGAGGTGGGACGCAGCTGATGGTGAAGCCCAGTAAGTGCCCATGTTCTGCTTGTATTTGGCCAAACAGGTAAATCCTGTGACTGTAGCAGAGATGTAATTTATTAAGGAAACAAACGTCCTTCTTAAAGTGAATGCTCATTTTAGCACAGGAAACATTCATGATGTTGAGAATACAGCAATAATAATAAATAGACAGGAAACGAGGCCAGCCCAAATCGCCTTTAATACACTAGCCCGGCTCTCTTTTCCCAGGCAGATACTGAAACCATGAGAAATTTACAACCTCGGTATCTTCGAAACTACAGTCTGCAATGATTTGTGTGTTTATTATGATTTCGCCCACAGAACTTGTCTTGTATTAAAAATGAGCGTCTATCTCATTTTCAATGCTAATGATATTTATAATGTGCCTTCTCCTCCCTCATGTCTAACATATATTTATTCTTCAAAAGTCTAACAGGAAATCCATGCACTGTCCTACTTTGGTAAATGCCCACATCAGGACTCATCATCCACATCAAATTCCACTAAAAACGCAGCCTCGCTGTTCAAATCCAGTGGGGCCGAAAAAGCCATTCAGAGAGCAGCAGATTGTTCAGGGTGGTTTTATGAATATCTGAAGGGGAATTCATCATGGAAAAAGTGACAGGCATGACAGATTCTTGTTCAATAATCAATGCCTCCTTGTAGGATAAAAACTTATAAATGTGCCTCATTGGAGGGGTGATGGAGAAGGGCATTCAGGAGCCTGGCACTCCGAGGGATGCTCCTAGGGTGTCAGTTTTCTCCACATTGCTATTTGAGGAGCTAAGACCCACACAAATGTCAGACAATAAATACTAAGAGGCAAGTGTTATAACCTGGCCAGGTTATTAAAGCCCACAACAGGTTATGCCTGTGAATCTAGAATAAGCAACCAAGGAGATTTAAACTAGGGCTAGTTTGTCTTCTAGTGCTTTGCTGGGGGACTGCTGAGAGGCAGAGAAGGGGCTTTCTGGCTCACTGATCTTGTTTCCGAGCTGACAGTTTAACTATCTCATGTTGATCTCTTTCAATGACTATGATGAGGTGCATCTGTGGGGTCAGGTGGACGAGGAGGAGAGAGACAATGGAACTTGTTCTTTGAGTGCCAAGCAGGGGTCTTTTCAGAGTTAATGAGCATCTCTTAGTGGTAAGAGAATATCCATGTGCTACATAAGTACATTTCCCCCAAACCAAGAATCCCTCTGAGTCAAAATGAGTGGTCTCCAGTGCCCCCAGCTAGGGAGGGTTATAATGGGCACAACAGATGTTTGCTTGACTCAAGGAGAGTGTCCTCAGGGGTTGTTGATGGGGCTTGTTCCCAAGCTTACATCTCAGTGCTGAGTGAGAGGTGAGAAGTGAGATGGACCCAAGCTGCCCCTTCCTGTCCACATCCTTGTTGAGGCTCTGGAGAGAGGGCTGCCTGCCAGATTCCTTTTGCCAGCAATAACAGAACTGTGTTTGAGATCCTAAAGGAGTTTGTTGAGCTGCTGCTTTTATAATTCACTCTCAGTGTCAAATGTGGTCAATAAGCAGCAAAAAATTCAGGCAAAATAATGAGGAGACAGAGAGTGATGGCCAAATAGGTAATGGGGACTGCATATTACAGCCAAAGAGGCAATGTGGGATCTGTTAAGTCCCATGAAGGTGAAATACATTGAGGGATATGTAGCTTTCCCAAAAACTGTCACTAGAAGTTTTGGGTATGGTCCCAATCACAGTGTGACTCAAACGCTTACAAAATCGTCTTCGGAAAAGGAACCCAGCTTCATGTTCTCCCTAGTAAGTGCTGTTCCATTCTCTAACATTCTGACATTCTCTCCCACTGAGCTGAAGGTGTGCTGAGTGTTGTGTGGGAAAGTTTCTTACACTCCGAGACAAGGGGGCAGCCCTCAGGTCCAGGGCACTCCTCAGCTCAGCCAAACACCACATCCTCTGCCTCTACCGCAGAAGAAAAGGCTCCCACTCTTCCAGCTAACACAGAGATCTTTTTCATTGTTTCCAAGGAGTGAAAGGAAAATCAAGAATCTTTGTCCAGAATCCGTTTTCAAGTCTCCCCACCCCACTCCACCCTACCCCCAATTGTCCCCAGCTGACTGTACAGTCAATGTGATTTTTGGCTCTGTTTTGTTTTGCTTTGTTTTATGACTCCCACAATCTCTCGCCCATCCTTTATAAATGGTCCACTTTCTGTGTTTGGCCTTTGCTGGTGTCCTGGCACTCTGTCCCCATGCTTCATCATGTCCCTTGTTCCAGGGATGGGCAGGACACAACTTCTCTAAGAGACAACAGAGAGGAAGAGCGGGAGCCCCTTCACTCCACAGCCCTCTCTCAGTCGTTTCCTCCTTTCCATGTCTGTGGCCTATTCAGACCCAGCAATGTGCTCATCACAAGGCCGGGACCAGGGATTTCCTTTGGGATAGTTTTCTCAGGCTAACAATGGCTTGGACATTCTCAGGGAGCTCAGAAACGCCTTCCTGGATCACAGCTCCTTCTATGGAAACTCTATGGTCAGGGTAGACAGGCAAAGCCAGACATGTTTTTATTATACTGTCGTGTGTAAGGGTTAGAGATAAGGACTCAAAGGGAAAATAACAGCTATGGTTAAATGGGGAGACTTCTGGATGATTCTACTGGGAAAAAATGATTAACAAGAAGAAGGGCCCAAGAAAAACACTGGGCCAGGCACTGGGGGGTGTGGGGTGCATAGAAAGATGGTCACCGTGGGAATCCAGGAAGTGGGGAGCTTATCTTAGGAAAGGAAGGCTTTCTATGGTTGAAAGTGCCTAGTCAACTCTAACCTTCATCAACAATGGCTTCTGACCTTCAATGCTCATGGGAATCCTCTGCCCCCATCAAAGGTCTGTTAGGGGATGGAGATGTAGCTCAGGAGTGCATATAGCATACATGAGGTCCTCTGTTCAAGCTTGGGAGAGAGGTCGTGTCTGTTAGAGCTAAGTTACTAGGGTTAAGCAGGAAGATGCAGCAGTCAAACTACTGTAAACCAAACTCCAGCCAGAGAGCTATGGGCAAGCCCAAGCCAGACCTACCCTGTGCTGTGCCTCACAGCCTTGCTTCCCTGACCACACATCCCAAGGGAGCTCCTTCCCCTGGCCCCAGCAGTCCAAAGCCTTGGAGAGAACCTGAGACCCCTTAACCTGGAGAAGTACAGAAAGGGTTCTCTGGGGCTAAGGGGTGACTTTTAAATTCATTGTGGATGTCTATTTAATTTTTAACTAGTAACAAATTTTAGTTTTTCTGTGTAATACATAAAATGCTCTTATTGTAAGCAATTCCAAGTAAGGATAAAGACAATATTGCCCCTGACCCTTCCCTTCAATGTCACTTTCTTCCCTGCGCTCCGTGTGTGGAGTTTGATTCCCTCAGCATCTG